TTTTTTAAAAAAAACATGTTTAGAATCACACAATCTTGGAAATAACTTCGTAGTCTCTATTAATTCAGTGATGAGAAAAACATTAAAAAATAATCTGAAATTCTTAAACTTATATCCATGTTTAAATAACAAGTTGATAATTAACAAGACAGATTAACTGAGTGTGAGAAAAGTGTGTTCTTTTTCTTTTGGGGAATCTGCGTATGCCTGTCTAGCACGTTCTGTTGCAAAAATGTCACAGAAAATGCAGGAGAAAACCTCGTATCTCAGGATTTTTCATTAAAAGTGTATTCCTTTTTCTGTGCAAGTTTTTCCTTCCAAGCTCTATGAAATATTTTTGTTTAAATTGTAGAAGTCACTTTAAGCACATATAGTTAGATCTATTTCCTAATGTGTATGTGCTGAAATCTAGGGAAGTATGTTGAGTTTATACTGGAAATTTATTAGCCAATACAAAACTCATTTAAACTTCATGTGAGTTTATTTTCACTAAAGAAAAACCTCACCACCAGGCTATGGGCGGTATGTTGAAAGGAACAGGAAGAGCAGTGCCAGCTGGAGATCTGCATCCTTGCCCCAAACTCGTAAAAACTGCAGCCTGAGAAACCCATCAGCCTGCCCTCGCCTGTGCCTTCAGCGCGTGCGGTGCACTCCTTAGCAGCTCTCGCCCAGAGGACAGGGTCCAGGAGCAAAGCGTTAGACTGCGGAGCTGGTATCTGAGGTGAGTTTGGGGGTGTCAAAGCTCAAAGCCGTGACTGGCATGTGGGTTGAGGCTGCCATCCACAGTGCTGTAGATAGCTGGCATGCCCTTCCCCGGGGGGTGGGGGTGTGGGGTGGGGGTGGGGTGTCTGCATGGTTTGTGGAAAAGGTGCCCATCTTGTGGGTGGTACCACGGTGAATGGCATTATCCACACACCCTGATTTAGGTTGCGTGTCACTTTCACTGGAACAGTTGCAGTTTCCTTCCCCCTCCCCTTGTTTTTAATTCAATCTCCTTGTTGAGAGAAGGCTGAGAAATTAAAGATTACAAAATGCCAACAAGAGAGAAAAAACACTGCTGTACCAAGGCTGGCTGTAGGAAAACGATGGCAATTGTCCAGAAGCAAAGATGAAAGTCTCAAAGCAAGAAGAAAGCTGGAAGAACCAGCTGGGAAAAAGCAAACACATGAAGAGAAAACGCAAGTGTGTCACTAAACCAAGGACCAAGCAGGTGAACTCTTGTCTTAAAACTAATGCTTTTAACGTGCATCTTAATGCATGCTGTTGTTTGAACTGTGTTTAGAGTCAGCAGTTTATGCCAGGTATCAGTGCAGAATGAAAAGATAAAATAGAACTATTTCACAACCTCTCAAAAACACACCCACTCGTACACAAAGTAAGGCGTGCAACAGCTGACTATTGTCATTATTCCTCTCACTTGTGGTATCACTTTGACATTTAAGGAAAAGTAAGCTGTTAGTACATGAAAGTTCTTTACTGTTCTATATTATGCTACCAGGGCACTATGATTATGCAGAAATGCTTTGGGTTGGGAGGGGAGGGGAGGAGGAAAGTGTTTTTGTGAGAATGACCATCAGCACCTTGATTCTGGAAGACTAAGTTTGATTTTGACTCGATAATCAACTCATGCTGGCCATTCTAATTTCACATCATTATTTTAAACGAAAGAACTGCATGTTTGGAGGAGAACAAATATTATTACTAAAATGTTTTAATTAAGATTACAGATTATCCATCAAATCTAAAAAGTATTTTTGTAGGTTCTAGGATAATTTATAGACAGTGGTAATACAGATGCATTCCAAAAATGTGTTGTACTTAATGCTGGTATCACTTCCTACTGTTAATCTGGTTCACTTAGTTGTTTCTGTGTCTGACACAGTATTTTTCAAATAAAAGAACCTCAAGTGAGAGGAGGGTGTAAAAACCCTCCTGCTTCTGAACTGTTGTCTACCAAAACCTACCTTTGTAGTTAAGACTCTGTACGTTTACTACAGGTGACAAGTGTAGTACATCTAATGGATTCAAGAGTTTGAAACAATTAGTGTCAGCTGGGATTTCTTAAGTCTAAATAACATTAATCTTTCTAAGCTAAGACATGAGCTCTTTAAAAACTGTTTTTAAGATCTTTTAGGGAAGGCAAGAAAATGGTATTAAGGTTACCTATCTTGCATTTCTGAGTCTTTAGACATATTCACGTAGGAGAACCCACTTATTTTTATCACCTACTTAATTGACCGGAGGTGCTCCACAGCTATCTGGCTGTAAAATACCACAGTAAATCTGAAAGCTATGCTCAAGCGTAATTTATCTGGAAAAAAAAAATTGAAAGAGTAATAAATTAGAAGTTTCTTATAATACACAAAATAGCTCAAGACTGTAGATTAAATGGTCACTGGAAGTCTTGGAAGAGAAATGAAGCAAGCTAATTTCCAAACTTCCTTCACTGTCCTGCTTTCCACTAAAAATATCTCCAGACTTTCCTTGGTTAAGACCTCCAAAAGTCCGGTATACTGGATTAAGGATTACCTAAAGAGAATATTTCTCTCTTCTGTTTTCATACTACAAAATTGCTAGAAAATATTTAAACTTTTATGACTATTAGGCCAACAATTGCTAGAATAGACTGGCATATCCACAAATGTGCATGTGAAATCATAAAAATGTGTAGCAGTGGAGAGGAAAGAATGCTGCATGTTTCAGCACATAATAAATTCCTGCTCAAAAAATACTTTGTATTTTTGGTAGGTTTACAAAACAAAATACTTATTCACACCATATTTTCAAGTTCCAGTTTGTGGAGTAAATAGAAGGCAATGTTTTAAAGAATAAAGTTCAAATAAGAAAAACATAATTAGTCGCTATATTAAGGTAAGAACAGTGTATATTGCTGTAGAAAGGATGAAGCACATACTATCCATGTGCACGTACTTAGTAAAATGATGGCAAGACAACTAATTCCTTGTAAGCAGCATTTGTAAATAAAGGCTAGTCTATTAGTTGCAGTCTGTTACTTGCAGAGCCAAAGGATCAGAGATCCTTCCCCTGTACCCCTTGCTGCTTTCTCCGTATTTTTGCTGTTCTGGTATTTACTAAACTGCTTATTCAGAACTTGTAACTCAGAACCATATTGTAAACCTGGACATCTGAGTTTTCAATCTTCAAAGAAAAATTATTAACCTTGCAATTTAAGCATTTGACTTGATTGTGCTGTACAGGTCTTATATTTATTGAATGCTAAGACAAGTGAGGATATTCAAGTTTGGTTTCCACATGGTTAAACTATGCCCTGGTTTAACATGACATATCTGGCATCTAACAAACTGAAATTTTTCATTTAAATACTGAATTCACCAGCAGAGAAAATGAGCATGTCTGGATAGTACTTATCCTCTATCAACCCAAAAACAATTCCTACTTTTTGTATCCATTCTTTCTAGGAACAAATTAATTTTTCTTCTGCCTTCTTTGTGTGATCCTCCACTTGTTTAGATACATCTGCTGCTTTTTAGGAGTAAGACACCACATTAGTTGTACTGCAACACAAGATAATGTACTGTGGCACAAGGCAGGCACATTCTTATACTTTAATTTACAACCCTGACTTATTTCATCTGCCAGTAAATCTATCAGGTTTAATTTAGTCCAGTGAGTTAATTCTTCTCTAAGTATCAGGAACAGCTTACTCCTCATTAAAAGGGCTATATAAATAGCCATTTAAAAGATGTTAATTCAAAGCCATCAGAAAGGGAAGAGACACCATTTGCTTTGTTTCACACTAAGCACATTCGTAACTGCTTGTTGCGATTCTTGTGAGACAAACATGGATATAGGTTACCAATACAAAAACAGGAACAACAGCTCTCTGAGCCACAAAAAACTTTCTTCAGATGTTGGTTGCATAGGGTTGCTAACACAGTGACTGTCACAAATTTTTTTTTTTTTTTTTTTAAATTCTTCTGGCTGTTGACCTTCATGCTCCAACATCAGAGGCTGTAGCTGGGTATCTGTAGCAATACAGTTTGTTGTCTGCACCTCCACTCAATAGCAACTGGTGAGAGGAAAAGAGAACTGTCATTAGTATCAGAACTAAGCAAAATACCTACACAAAAGTTGAGGACTGATTTTCTTTCCTCTGAAGACATAAACAGAAGTAATGAATAATTAACTGTTAATATTTGACTAAAACCCAGAATCAAAAGTGCAGAAGCAGCCTTGCCTCTTACCCTTCTAGAATTAGAAGCAAAGTTTTTCCAGGAAATTTCTAAAGCTTTTCACACCTTTTACTGAGAACAGGAGCCACACAGAATCTTGAATGCTAACAAAATGTTTTTTCCCCTTTCATACATGTGTGGACCGCTACAGTGGCGGAACAGCTTGCTACAGACGATTATATAGGTCCCCCTTTACACGTACTGCCATGCCCCAGCTATCAGTTCACGCTGCTGCTTTAGTCTCCAAGGCAGCAAATGGTACCTTGGAACACGTATTTTCTCAGTGAGGTGTGGTGCTGTTCTCGTGTCTCTCCTTGTTGTGAATATCAGTGTAACACCCTTAATGCTACAGAGCTCAAACTGCCATCCTACTCCTTTGCACACTAGCATGGGGAAGTGCTGCAGTGCGTATGACAGTAACACCTTCTCTTTTACCCAGTATCAACCACAGCACAACTAAAACTTCCCGTTCTATTCTATTCTATCTTTAATCATAAAGGAAAAACAACTCCACGACTGCTTTTAGCCCTCTTCCTAACCCCCATGCATATAAATGGCATAACTTGCTCTTCGGATTCTTACCCCTGGTTCTGTCCAGTCCACACACAAAACCTTGTCTTCATGAGCAGCCAAGTCATAGAGAGGAGCTTTGCAACTGGCAAAACACAAGTATTTACAGTCACGCATTTGAAGTTACATGAGCAATCACCAAAACCAAAATTGGTTCCTGGCAAAAACACTCTGACAATACTATCAAACAGATCTGGTCTAGCAGTTACAAATGCTTTAAGAGAATACAGGTATCTACATCTGTCACGTTTTCTCTGCTTTCTCCAGAGCTGATTACATCAGTTTTAACCTCTCCTACATCTCCAAAGAGAAAAGCAGCAACATATTGCACCTGCTTGCAAACTACCTTGAGACTGAAATTTAATCAATCTGCTTTTTAGGAACAGTTTATTACACAGTTTCCTTTTTCCACGTGTGGATGCTGCTTGACTGTGTGTGTTTTCCAGAAAAGTCCTGTGTCTTCTGAATGCAAACCATTTCATTGCTTAGAAATTTGTAATGAAAGGTCTGAAAAGAGTAGCAAGTGAAACTTCACACTGTTAGGTTCGTTCCTTAGAAAAAGAATGTATTTTGTTCCTTGAAGTAGAGGAATGGTTAGCAGACCTTCTGAAGTTCCTAATACTGGTAGCAACGTTATGGTTGCTGCCTTCTGCATTTCAATCAATGCTGCTGTTAATGCCAGGTATATCCCATGTTGGAAGGCCATAGAGTGCTCTCAGATGTTAAGCCACAGGTCCTCTAGTAGACTACAAGTATTCTTCTCCCTTTTGTTATACACTTGACTCCTGAAACCTAGAGGATTTTCACAAACGCCACAGGAGTTTCCAATTAATTTCTCAGAGTGCTTTTGCTATTTCATTAGGTTAACTGACCCTGTAAGCTCACATGCCTTCGAACAGCGAAGAATGTGTGTTTACTTTACCTCCTTGTGTCCCAGAGCTTCACAATGTTGTCCAGAGAACCAGAGATCAGCTGATGCTCATGGGTAGGTGACCACTTCACAGATGTCACCCAGCCTGTGTGAGATGTCAGAGACAGGAGAACCAAGGAACCATCTGAACAGAAAAAGAGGAAAAAAAAAAAAAAAGACATCAGAACAGAAAGAGAGGAAAAAATAAAAGACAACAGTAGATGCCAGCTGAAACCATTTAAGATGCATACAAAATCCAGTGAGAAAAGCAGTCACCAACATATTTGTGTTCAGGGTAGGTATTTCTCCCACCAGTAATTCTAATTTCAAAAATCAAAATGAACTTTAAAGAAAGCAAACAGAAATATAAGCCAAACAAGTTCTGGGGGAAAACAAAACCAAACCAAACTACCAAACCAAAATTCAAAATGTATTTTCTTGTCACTAAATTCTTTTCAAAGATTTTTTGGAAAAAAGCAAACAAAAAATTTGGGGTTTTTTAACAACATGTAAGAAGATAATACTGTTAAACTCTGGATTAGATTTATAGAACCTAAACAAGTAAACATGTCTATGAAATAAATCTGGCAGGCTCAGTCGTAAGTTATATGCAATTCTGTCAGACATGGCACCACTATATTGTAATGAAGTGACTATTTCACTTTAGTGATGGTCTAACCAATTTAGGTGCGAACTAAGCTTATTAGGTGAGAAATCAAAAGAAGTCTTGCACCACATTATGAAAAACAGACAATAATCTTTGTATTTAATAAAAGCCCCCAAATGACTTACTTCAATCAGAGGGACTAGAAAACAGGTTGTGAGATGTCTCCCAACAGGGAGAAGTTATGATTTTGAAAAAACAACTTTGAGAAGATGCACATTTTAGCTCACCTTTGCTGCGAGGATCCCATAGTCTAATATGTCTGTCAGTGCTACCGGATGCAAGGCGTCGACACAGTGGTGAGTAGGAGACAGAATTAAACACTTTGTTTCCTGTCTGTCAGAAAAAAAAATACTAACTAAGAGAGGAGGTACTATTTTTGCACAACTTTTTATTATTTGAGCTGGACTTGAGTTGAACCTACAGATGAAGTATAGTGATCTCACCAAAGTTGATTTGAGATCTCCAGTCTCAGCATCCCAGAATTTAATAGTGTGGTCCCATGATGCGCTGCAGATTTCTTCAGCATCTGACCACAGCACAGAGGAGACAGCTTCTGTGTGGCCAGAGAGGGTTGCCAGGGGAGTCTACAATTTAAAGGTGAGAGAACATCAGATTGAATATTGTCGACAAATCTATTTTTTCAACAAATAAAAATATGTGTCTATTCAGCCTCAGACGTATCACCAGAAATCTTCATACAGTCGCTTTCAACAAAGAGAAATTATTTTGTGTGGCCACACTTTTGAAATAAAATGCTGGACAAACCTGGAGCTCATCTTACCCTTGTTAGTCCCAACTGTTCAGTTTTCTGCTTCTTCCGTGGTCTGTTAGCTGCTTCTTCCATTTCATCCTCTTCATCTGTAGGTACTGTGACAGAGAACAGTCAGACTTGATCGAGAAGTTTTTGAATTGTATTTCCATATAAGCAATTAAGCAAACCTCCATATTTGCAGTACCCAACCTGTCTATGGTGTATGAGTATTTTAACCTTACACCTGTGATCGTATCAGTATTATCTCCATGTTGAGTGTAAGGAAAATGAATACAAATTAAGTGATGTTCTCCAGGTCATGCAGTTTTAAAATGAAGTCCAAATGAATTTTCAAGCCCATCCTTACTCATAGAAAATCCCAACAGTAATTCAGGTGTGTGACAAAACACAATCATTCTTTTAGATGCAATACTTACATATACACTCCCAAACTGAAAGAATATGACTTGTAACAGTGAAAGAAAGCCTTCAGACCAAACGGAATTAATCTACATTTCTAGGAAAGACCTGGCCATCTTACTGTTCCCTCCATATAATGGTGTCAATAATAGAACAGAAAAATAACCCACAAACTTTTGATTTGTAAAGAGTCTGTACACAAACCTGCATATTTATATAAACCCATTAAAAAATAAATGAAATATATGAAGTACTGTGTTCTGAACAAAATAAACATCAGCAGGCAGCTGATAACCATGCCTGAAATTAAGTATGGTCTTTGTTACCAGCCGTAACAGTAACTTAAGACAGTGATAGATAGTTGTGATTTTGCAATGAAAAAAAACAAAATTTCTATCTTGCTTTTAATACTAGAGATTCAAATTTTCTTAAAGAAAAAACTATTCTGATATCCATATTTCAGGCTGTCATTAAGTAAAGTTTTTTGAATACAGCCAAGAATCCCAGCTTACACATATCTTACCTGAAGACCAGATCTTTAACATCTTATCCCAAGACCCACTGCAGAACTGTATGAACAGAAACATTTTGTTAAATGTTGATCCAGATAGACTCTGTAAGTCATATTAAGTACAGTTCCTGCTTGAAATATTAACCAATGGGTTATAAACACATAAAGAACAGTGCTGGGCTCCTCAAAAAAAAAAGTTTGGTATAGATCAAATTATTTTTTTTCTTTGCAGGAAAAAAACATGTACAAAGTATCTCTTTATTTCCTTCAGCACCAAAAGGTTTTATTTTAACCTGTCTCATTAAGTCAAGCTTAGTGGGAGGGATGACTCGCACCTTTGGGGTGTGAGTGCTCTTAACTGTTGAATTCCTGGATAAGGGGAAAGGACCTCTTCTACCACCTGCTTTTTTTTTTAGCATCACTCTGGAATTTTTTCCCCCCACCAAAACTACTGTGAAAATTTAGGTCAAATTTTAGAATAGTTTACTATAATGCAAAATTCATGTGTTAAAAGCAAGGTTTATTTAAAAAATAAATATTCAGCTTCAGTCAAGGCAAAAGCAGCAGTATAATGGCTTGTCCTATCTAAAGTCACCTTCAGCTTTTTGTAATACTAGAGGTTAACTGCATCGCTTTGTTTGGAAAGATGGCCTAGTGTTGATGTAGCAGTCCTAATCCTCAATAACCACCATTTATAATAAGATCAGAAATTTTGCAGTGTGTCAGCTGTAACATGATGACTAGTATCTATGCGGGGACAAAAAGATGGTTTTTGAAACACAGGCTGCTAGCATCCCAAAAGACAAAGATTTCTTTCCAGGAGTCACTCACTTTAGTTCTTGTGCAATCAACAGCTATGGAGTCTACACTTCCAGCATGTCCCCTGCAGCAGTGCAAGGCTTTCACTTTGTTTTTCTCCACATTCCACTCCCACAGCAGGATAGTTTGGTCCATAGAAGCACTGAGTAACAGGCATGATAAACTATCTGAGGAAGAAAAAACAGTCACGCTTGCATGCAACTCAGCTTTCCAAAATCTTTACAGTAATTATTCTAATCAAAGAAGAAATAGGAGATAGATAGAAACCCATACATATCTCAGTTTACATCATCTTACCCTGTAAGTACAATTAATATAAAAATACATACCAGTACTTGCTAATGAAGACTGCAAGGTGGACAGAGGGCGTACGTATTTAACTACATTCATTACTGTTAAAGGACTGTTTTATTGAAAGAACTGTACCATTTAGATTATTAATTATTCATGACTGAGGAATTCTGACACTTCTCCCCCAATAAATAAAGCTATCACTATTGCCCTAATACAAATACTGACCTTGCTTCACCCATGCCACGTCCTTCACTACTTCTGTATGCCCAGCTATTGTTGTGATGGATTTTCCTTCCAAAGTCCAGATTCGAGCAGTCTGATCATAGCAGCCAGTTAATATCCTACATGGTACAGAATATGAAAAATTCTTGTCTTTAAAACCAACAATGTTTTATGAAAAAAATACTGAATCAGAAACTTAGAAAAATATTTGCATAATAACTGGTTAGCTGAAATGAATTCAAAGTATAGCTACTTCGTGTAAAAGAAAAAAAAATATCCAAGTTTGGAAAAGTAAAAAATCTTTTTGTTACAGAGTAAAGCTTCATTAAAGCCTACAACTATAAGGCTAGGAGTACAGGACAAAAAGAAAAGCAATCAGAGTACTGCATATTCTGGTAGATGAGACTTCAGATTACTTACATCATTTAAAATAAAATTTGTTGTTCATGGTATGTTACCAGAGCGTATCAAAAGCACTTTCAAACCATTACACAATACAGCAACATTGCCAAGTTGATTGGAAAATTTATGTGAAAATATAGTAGCAAAGCACAATTATAGTTAGGTTTTTCTAAAGAAAAGCTCTATATAAAAGGCACACTATTATATTTGTTGCTAATTAATATCACATTTGAAGTCAAGGATTTAAGCTAAAAGAGATAAGGAAATCTTACTGCCCTTTAAGAGAAAGGCTAGTAAACAGCATTTGTATTATCCATTTGTAGTGACAGTATCTCATGTTCAGTGACCACAGCTGTCTTCTACTTGAGTTAAAGTCACTGTCAGCATAGAATAGAGGTGTTAAAATGGAACTGCATACAAAAGCAAGTAGCTGACTTGACGGGTTAAAAAAAATTTGAAACAAAAACAGAGCAAAGAAAAAATAGTTATTAGAGAGACACTCCATTTGACAACACGAAGCCCTCTGCACCCAACAGGAATAAGCAAGACAGAACTGGCTTAGTGCAGTACCATTCTTCAGTGGCTTGAACAGAACTGATCCAGTCATCGTGGAAGATGCATTCCTCTGGCTGAGGGGCCATGTATTTCTCCACGTACTCTATTTCCACCACTTCTTCCTGAGCTCACAGACAAAATACTTGTTTAGTATGGGTTTATTGTTTTTAATCAATAACAGTAATATTTAACTATAGTGTGGTGCAAATATACGAGTTTATTGGGCAAAGATCTTGGTATCCAAGTCCTTTGCCACATTAGTGGAATTAAAATTTTAGAAGAGTGTCTGAATTATACTGCTTTCTGTATTTTTATCAAATTAATAGCAAGCTGGAAGCAAAAACAAGTAATTTCACTCTTCTTAGGTTCCTCCTCTTCTGTATTTATCCATATAAAACTGGTGTCTAAAATACTTCACAGCATTTTCTAGAGGTAATACTAATGTCCCCCGTTATTCCCCAATGTCACTAATAGACTAGGAGACAAAAATATATTAACGATAAACTGAGTAAGACAAAAATTTCCTCTCTGAACTGTATACAGACAATAGACAGGATAACGATGTTCCTTGCACTGCTCAGTCCCATACTCTCGAATCACTCTGCAGTTCAGAATGGATTTACATATACAGGGAATTCTCCTGGCAAAGCTGGAAAAGAAATAAAACTGAGCAAGGAAACCTGCCTAGTCAGGATGACAGTGTAATACCTATATCAGATTGAAGTAAACTGGCTAAGTCTGTCCTACTGTCCAAGATGAGGAGAAATGGAGTATCACTTACAGTGGAGATATTTTCCATTTCCATGTGCGTGACCAGTGGCACACGCAAGAACTGGCCATTGATAAGGAAGTCAAATTCCACATATTTGTGATCCACTGAAACAAATTGGGAAAAATACATGTTCAGGTGTCACTACTTATTTGATACCATCAAGAACAGCATCATTCTGTCACTGTTTCAGGAGAACAGAGCCAGCAAGAAGTTAAAAAAGACCAAAAAAACCCCAACCCAAAGCACACCCAACAAAAGAGACAGTTTCTTCTCCCCGTTGTAAGTCGGCAGCCCATGAATTCCACAGGATTTATGTGAGGTAAGAGGAAGGAAAATTTGCTGATGTGGTTCACAGAGTTACATTTGCCTCTTATTGTTAACACATTATTTTCTAAATCCTTTTCTCTGTAGCTACGTCTAATCAATCTGCAGCGGTGCTTCATCACTGTTCTGTATGGAGCTCACCACTGCTAGCCCACATCTTTATCCTCACCAGCCAGAGCCCTGTATTTGAGGCAGCAACAGGAAAATCCCAAGAATTTTTGGTTCACGTTTCTCCCTCTGTAATGGCATAGTTGACAAAGGCCCCACATTTTGACGAGAGCGTTGCACTGTGCGCTAGTTTTCTATTCCAGGTTGCTTGCAGTTTCATGGGTTAAAAGCAGCTTGTGCAAGCCTCGGCAGGTTAAGATACAGAAAATGGGATTTTTCAACAGCATTGCACAGGTGTCTTTCCCCCGAAAATCCTCCAGGTCAGTCAGGCCCATTTCAGGTAGCCACGAGAGAACGGCTGGGCTCTTCTCAAAGGCTCTCATACAACCCAAACCTTTGGTTTCGTTAGTTCTTTCGCCAGGCTACAGGGAACTCTTCCGTTCCCGCCTGCGTCGCGGGGCACACACTGACGCAGCCTCTGGATCGTGTCCCTGGGTCTGCCCGCCAGCACCGGTACCCGCTGACAGTCAGGTCACCTCCCACGTGCAGAGAAAGCTTCCTGTGT